TATATAGATGAATGCATCTCTACTGACCGGTACAACTGCACTAATCTCACGCCGAACAAATTCAGAAATACGACTGCGCTGATATCGTTCGTGATCCCGAAAAAACTGAGGTGAAATACTAGTACGAGGCATTCTTTGATTTCCCAGAGTTACAAGTGCCGTGCGCCGTAGCCGAAGATCATAAACCAACATACGAAATGCTGGATCCGATACAATTTGTACCCTGAATTACTTAAGGCTTCAGCAGATTTTAAACTTCATCAAAAAATTCAATTCTGAAGAAATTCGAATTTGAACCAAGCAAAAAAAAGAGCACTGATAATTCAAATTTAACGAGTTTACAAAAATGTTAGAAACACTGAAAAAAGTTTCCAAGCTTATTTATAGTAGCAAAAAAATTACGTTACATTCAGCCTTCCTACTGCAAATTAAATTTGCCAATTATCATTAGTTCACATAAATTTTACAAGATTAAAGCTAAACATGTATCGATCTCCAATCAAATTACAAAATTAAAGACCAAAGAATTCTGCAGAAGCATTGAAATTATCTACGGAAATTTGATCACAAATATTCATTAAAATTCAGATTCTGCAAAACTGCAAATCTGAATTTTACCTCGGTCGCTCCCAATTATCTAATAGTATCTGATAGCGACCAATAAGCTGCAGATATTCATTTCGACGATGGATAGTTCCCGACATTTCACGTCTTCCTCTTCTGGCAAAGAATTTTAGCGTGAGTATCTGATTATTCCAGAATAGAATGATAATTAATCGACAATCTCAAATTTTCAACTCACATACCGATAAACAGACTAAATCATATCTTGAGGGTAGACAATAATCTACCATGATTCAAAGAAAAATGATAAGGACCAGCCGTAAAAGAGCTCACTCTGAAAACACATTATCATGCAAGCGAACAATTCTTAGAAGATGGCGGATCCTGCGCACTAATTGAGTACGCTCTCGAATCAGCGGCTGTGCAGAATTAATTTCGATTCTATCTCTGAGTGCCCATTGTCTGACTGTTTCTATAGTTACTCTATAAGGACAAATTCACGTAAGTTTTTTTGCAGCGATTTTACAGAAAAATACAAGACTCTGAGTACATGGAAATCAAGCATAATTTTCATATATTTTAACCCTTGCGAAAATACAGCAAACTTATCACAGAATTCCTGCTATGACGATTTCTGAAACATACTCTTCTGTAATTTCTTGATCGTCACTATCCCTTTTCACGTGAATGATTTTCCTAACTATACGTTTGCACATTGGACAAATTGGTCGTAGTTTGATCCATTCCACGATGCATCTACAAAATAAATGGAAAATGTTTAAGGAATGAGACTGCATTCTAAATATACATTTTGTGAGCAATAGTAGAAATTCAGTCGCACTTGTAAGGTTTCAAGTTTTTGGTACTAAAGCTCTCGAAGAAATTGAGATTAATGAGCATCAGATCTACTTTTTCCTGAGAGTAATCCTTAATCCTTTCTTAAATATTGTTGCTACATTTTTGCCATAATAAATAATCATCCATTCAAGGCTCACGAAAAAAGAACTGTATAGTTAAGTATATTGAAGCAAATAAAGAAAACGTACGTGAAACAATACTTGTGAACACAACCATCCAAACTTGTTTCATCATTTGTGGGAGATCCAAGGCAAATAGAACATTTCTCGGCTGTGTTTTCTTCAGGCGAAACAACCTGCCCATTGGAATTTGTTTCCTCTGTTTTTAAAACAAATTTGATAAAATGAGAATTTAAATCCCACACAATTAACATAATACCCATAATATAAACATCAACTTATCTTAGAAAAGTGGAATCCCCCGTAAATAAAAATTTCCCTTCCAGATAATGAAGATGCTTTTTAAAATGCTTCTCAAGGAGCTAATATGAAAAACAAGAAATCTACTTACATATTTCTGAGTAGAGCAATTTTAAAAATGATTTGCTATCAAGATACTTTAACTTAACTTTAGATCTCTCTTTTTGACCATGAAAATTCGTTTTAAACAATGCAAATCTTATTGATATAATCACAATTTTCAATAAATAATGGGCAAGTATTGGAAATGAATCGTTAAAGAGTCAATAAAAACGCTCGAAGAATACCTTGTTCTGATCGCGAATCTGATGGATTGACAAAACCCGAATGATATCCCTCCATGGTATCCAATTCTTTTCCTAAACAATGACTGAGTGGAGAAAAAACTCATGCAAACAAAATAATAAACAATGTCGCGTCACAATAAGAAGAGACGGAAGCTATAAAACATTCTAATTTGAAAAATAAGAAACTTAAGATATCAATGAAAGTGTAATTTGACATATTTTTAGTACAAAACTAAGCACTGTTTTTCAAGAAGCAGGCACTGGAGAACAAGAATTAAGACAAGCAAAATAGGTTAACCTTCATGGTTAACCTATTTTGTTGTCTACCAAGTTCCCAATAATACTTTGCAGATGTTACCAAAATCACACATAATATATAACATCCTATGCAAAAAAAACCATGTAATCAAGGAATGCATTTACGTGAAACTCGTTGATGCCCGTTTTTAATTGAATCCGTCACTATTGAAATTTCTCTCAAACTAAACCAATATTGCGATTCCCCGAAAAAATTTTTCATATGCATGAACAACTAGAAGAGTATGAAAACTGAAAGTAACATAGCACTCATTAGGTCAGCATTACCCATTTACGACCCAAAGAAAATGAGGCACGGACAGTAAATGCACTGAGGTAAACAAAGAGTAACATAAAGATCACACAAGTAACACAAAGAGACTGAAATGAAGATGATGAAAGAAACAATTCCTGCGTAGTTCGTGACATGCAGCTCACAAGCAACGCATGGTGACTATAGGTCTTGTCGCGATGGTACGATTGATTGATACTTGCTTACATTGCAAAATGTTGTTTTAAGAAGTGTTTTATCACTGCTATATAGATTAACCGCAAATTACAGGGATGTGTGGTTGACTTCGATCTCTTCATTTTTTATTTAAGACTGTTTTGTATGTAATTTAAATATCATTGATGTGACTATAAGGTTTTCCTTTTGAAAAACTGATATTTGAAAACATTGCAGATGTGATGCATGCAAGTAAGCGTGAATGTTCAAAAAATCAAAAAAATGCTCCGTCTGGAAAGTTTAAAACATTTAAAAAGGTTTTGAGTGCTGGACGAGGGAACCTTCCAGAGTTTCGAATTGGTACGAAGGCAATCTTTCATTATGAAACACTTAAACCGTTGGTAAATGTCAACGAAAAAGGTTTTCCGGAATCCAGGTAATCTGTTAGGTAGAGCTCTAATCATTAGTAATGCACATTCATCTTGGTGTAAAGCTGAATATTTTTATAGGAAAGGATTCTGTTGTCAATTATGAACTTGATAAACTCGAAGCACAATACTGATTAATACCAGCTGCATTTTTCAGAGATCGCTATGAGTCGATCGATGATACTCGGAAACCTTACCCTAATGGCTATGGAAAACCTTTAGAATTGGTTTTTGGGAAAAAGTTCCAGCTGCCGATTTTCGAACAGTGTCTGCAAACAATGCTGATTGATGAGGTTTTCATCTCTTTAATACTCGCTTTTTTCTGTTTTTTTTACATAAATTTAGTTGCAATTTTAGAAGAAATTGCTGAATTAAAACTATCTGTATCACAATCTGAGGAATCACTGTTTCAAACGAAGAGAGTTGTATACTATATCCCAGTATGTCAACATCAGAGCTGTAATATTTCTCACAAGAAGCAATTACTTGAAATGGATATGTACAGTCTGCATATGACAGTATTAATTAGATTAAACTGTAAGCAGTGTAGCCATTACTTCTTGATATTAGTAAGTTGATAGTTCGAAAAAAAAATAAAGTGATTTTGTTCAAGCTGGTGATGTATTTTAGATTAGTCAATTCGATATTGCGGCTTCTGAACTTTTTACATATCCTTCAGTTTCACAGAAACTTCGAAATATATCCAAAGCTGCTATGCATCCAAGTTCTGAGAACCACTGTCATACGCATTGTTCCGCAGATTTTGCGTTCGTATTTCACTAATTTAAATAAGGACTTGAAAAATGTATAGGACTTCATATGTTTCAAATTGTTATGAGCAGTACTTTATGTTTTATCACTGTTAAACTATGAAATGAAATTGTGTTTAGTCTTTTAAATCATAATCTATCTCTTAATCATAATCCATTTAATACAATATAGTAAAGCAGTGTTGTTGTTTTTCAAATTGTATAAGTAAAATAAAGTTGCTTCTCACCCACTATTCTTGTATTTTAGAATGGAGTACGAAGCCTTAATTGAACTAATGAAGAAACCGCAGCCGTTACGATTCATATTTCATTTGCTTTCTGTTCTGCAACCTGAGGATTATGAACCAGATAGTTGGCAGTTGGAACCCGATGAAAAATTGGCGAGCGTTGGGAAACTAAAAGAATCTGGAAATAATGATCTAAAAAAAGCATGTTGCAAACGTTTTCTGAAGTTTCATCCATTCAGTACTGATAATTTTGAATGTTTGAAAAGTATGACACGATTCTGATATTTTTGAACTTTTGTAGATAGTGGAATGTTTCTGAATTTCTGATTCTTAATATTATTTAGTGTAGCCGCTCTTTATTTTATATAGACAGTGTTGCAGAACTTCTTGACTCCTTTTCTATAGTTTTATAAAGCAACGCTGATTTCAGGGGGACTATCTGAATGCTTCGCTGAAATATAAAGAAGCTCTGAATCGGTTAGAAATTTTATTGTTGCGTGAAAAGCCAGGGGATCCTGAATGGATTGATTTAGATAAACAGGTATTTCTTTTTATGAACAGAATTAATACATTTCAATCGTGACTCATTATCTATGGATCAATTGTATGTCGAGAAAAGTTGTAGTAGTGGACTATTTCACATTCTTGTAGTAATAAAATCAGTTGTAGTTGAACAGAAAATATACTTAGCATTTTCTACTTGTTATCATTTACTTTATAATTTGTTGATAATGCTGTTATTTAATGCGAGTTACCTTGTCACATTTTACCGGGTGCTGCAGGTTTTTATCAATAATTTGAAACATATGAAGTCCTATATATAACAGCATGTCAGAATAGCAAGATGATAGTAAAGACATCGTGACTCAAGTTGTGTGCCTACTTTTATTTAGAACGTGCCCGTATTCTTAAATCTCTCACTTTGTTATCTGAATTGGAAGCAATATTATGAAGCTATTGATGCTGCAACGGAAGTATTGAAAAGAGATGAGTTGAATGAAAAAGCATTGTATCGACGTGCAAAGGGAAGAATTGCTATATGGGATTTGGAAAAGGTTTTTTAATGATAAGATTTCAAGAATTAAAATACTGTTTCTCATCGTTTTTCCTCTGCATAATTTGTCTTGCAGTTTTGGCTCTAGATTTTTTCCTTGTCGATAAGTTATGCATCCGAAAGATCAACAAATCTTATTTTTTGTATTGGTTGGCAAGGAACTGTTTCCCATTTTTGCCTAATTTTTTTAAAACCACCGGACTAAAGCATAAAATCACAGTTTCAACCATCATCATTAGATGTTAATGTCCTATGTGATTATATGTTGATTATTTATTCTTACAAAACAGTACTTTTTCATATTTAAATTGTGTTTACGGTCAAACTTCAGGCTGAAAAAGATCTTAAGTTGCTTTTGTTACACTATCCCGGCAATGCAAATTTGGTGAAAATTGAACTGGAAAGAATACAGTCACTCAGAAAAGAACGTGAGCAAAGTGCAAGAAACACATACAAGCACATGTTCAAGAATGTTTGTTGAGTCTTGCCGACTTCGTTCTTGATGAATATAATTATTGTAAAGGTAAATGATTTTTCTACTGAAACATTTCACTTTTAATGACTTATTTTTGTTCAAGGAGGATGGAAAAAAAACTAAAAGTTAGAAAATATAAGTTTCAAACATACAATAAAAAATCACTAGCATATTTTAATCGTCAAGTATGTTTTTAGACTTTTATTTTTATTATAAATTCAGCTTTAGCTCTTATAATATTGTAGTTGTTTAATGTAGATTGATTTCGTATTGTATTTTATGTAGTTTTATTCCTATTATTTTACAGTTTATTGTAATTATTACTCCTTAAAAACTGTGTAAAATGCATTTTTTTAAAAGCATCCTTGTGAAAGTTTCCGTTATTCCCTTAATATATTCTTTTTAGTGATGGTGCATATTAATTTTTTATTAAGGAAATATTCAATTATTTGTCTAGCTCATAGAATTCATCTCTCAGAGTTCTTTTAATTTCTTTGTTTTATCGCAAATTTTTATTTCTGTTTGCTTGTATCACTGTTTTTTCTAAATAATTCTTTTATTTTTGTACTGCGCAATACGGTAGTAAACACAGATTTGTGGCAGTTGTTTAATTGATAGAATGATTATGTTCGTTAAAGAAATGAAGTTTTCAGTAATTATGTGTAGAAATTGTGAAAATGATAAAATGTAGTAAGTGCTCTGAGGTTAGAATTTGACTTATTAAGCAAGTATTGTATCATGTTATGTGTGGAAAGTATATATTTTCCTGTAAAGTTTGGTACTAACTACCGGTTGTCAATTGATTGACTTAAAATATATAGTGAATATTTGTTTTTGGTTTTCCCCTTTACAATTATCATTCTTGACGTGTAGTATTATTACTTGATTTCGCAGATGCATCATTGCTGTGTTGTGTAAATGGCTTTGAAATTTGTTAATTAAGTTTAGTGGCTTGAATGGTGGTTTCTCACTTCATTCATTCTTTTACTCGTTCATTTAATCATCTAAGAAAGTATTTCAAGAAAAGCTACGTATTGAGTAATACTTCATCTGTTTTCTGTGATGAATTGCATAAATTTTGGTTGCAAAAATTGCTCGACCTATCATTTTTGTTATCATTATGCTATCGAATCAGAAGTCAATTTAACATTATTGTGTTGCTTTTTTCTTTACGACAAATTCAATGTGTTTAGTAAATACTAAAATTATTCTTCAGTGAAGATTTTTGGCACTCAAATCAGTATAAATCGTTTGCTTATATAAATTAATCTTGATAGCATATATAGATTGTTAGAGAACATAACTCGTTGTATTAGTAGTTATATCTGCGTAACATAAGCGGTAAAGTTGAAAGAGTTGCTGTCATTTATCAGAATAGAGTAATGAATATTCATTACTTTGTCATGGAATAAGGGAATTGAGTCGTACATTTTTGAAAGACAAGACGATGTTAATTGACTACTGAAGTAAAAAACAAACAAAAAATGCACCTTCTATATACTTCTAAACTTTGGGAAAAGAAAGTTGTTATGATTTCTTAGCTTGAAATATTTAGTACGTTTTGTCTGCGCATTCGAAAGCAGCAATTATCATTTTTTTGAAATCTACTTTTGTTTATTTACTTAGGTAAATTTGTTATTCAGTAATCTCAGATTTATTCTTAATTTTCGGCCCTTTTTACTTAAGTATGATTATTTAATTAGAGATGCAAATGTTATATTCCCTTCGTTTCCTTGCTCATCCTTTACGTTCTAATTTCATTTATAAAAAAAAAAAAATGCATACTAAACTGAAAGTTTACTTTTGCTTTCATTCTGCTCACCGCTTACTTATTGGCTTTTTAGATAGTTACTGCTAAACTGGCTGATAACTAACTTTTTTTGTCTGTAGTTCTTTCCTCATCATAATAGTTGCTTTTTCTTTTGTCGTTGTTTATGTATTCACTGATTAGATACGTTGACTGTATGTATGTACTAATTTTTCCTTTACTAATTATTTGTTTAGCTTTTATATGTATGTTTATCGCCAGTAATGTAATAAATGAAGAATAAACTTACTTCTTACCTTTCAGATAATTGCTTTAATTGAAGTTTATCAATAAAATAAAATATTGAGTTTAGTTCAGACTTTTAAGCAAAAATTACTTCACTAATATTGAAAAAAATTATGGCTGTAATAAAAAATTGACTGTAAAAGTATGAATGAAGACAGAAGAAAAAAGCATCGGAACCTCAGTGCTATATTATTTGATATTTTAGAATTATTTGCTTTGAATTACGATATCTGAAATTTCAGCTGTGTATATAGAAGGTATATGATATTACACAGGGTTTTTTTTCTGTCATGAAAAAGCATTTCTGTTGGTTACTTATAAATATCAAATTTCTTTATTTATACAACTTATCGCTACTTAATTTTATTCACACTGTTTAGCACTGCCGAAAAAATAATCTTTCAGATAAAAGCAGAAAGAAGAGTTGAAAGAAAGTTGCGTAGAGTGATAATTTCGACCTAATCTTTCATATAAATTTATAATTCTTAGAATGTTGTGAAAAGTAAGTTAAAATGATTGTTGCAATGTTAGTATTTTTTTAACGATTGTAAAAGTAACACTGCATTGGAGTTGTCAATGTATGAGGCAAAAAATTCAAAAATATTTGAAATAAAATGTCATGAAGAAGGACGTGTGGTAAAGAAAATCTAAAAAGCAGTTATCAAATTTTTCTATATCCATTACATGAAGAAAAATTGTTAAGCAATTCGTAGTAAATAACATCTTAATTTTATTGAAAGCATTTTCTTGCTTTGGCTTCAGACAATTTGATCAGACAATACTGACATCAAGAATTTCATGTTGAATGATTTTTAAAATTTTGATAAAAAACGGTAAAGGAATTGACTGATATCTTACAATATAGTGTGGTATCAAATACTTACTATTATCAATCACCATGCAGCAATTTTGATAATAACGACGTTTTCTTTACGAAGTAATTTAAAGATAATTTTGATATTTGTTCTCAACTCTCATTCATTAAATTAACAAATTTCCTTGCCACTATAAGTTTACGCTTGCAATCACTGCTTATTTAACGATTACCTTCTGATGTATCGGCTTGTTTATTCAATTAATTTGTTTTTGGAAAAAATGCAAACTATTTTCATTCTACAATTGTTAAATCTTATTATAGTTGTGCTACTGTCATTATATTTTTTCTGCTATTTTTTCATTATTGAAGCACAAATTCAATAAATCATAGAATAAATCTAGCTATCAAATAAGATTTCAATTACATTCAAAATCTGCTTGGTTTGAAGGCGATATAACTCACTTACCATTTTCACACATTTGCCTTTGTTTACTCTTTCTGAGACCTATTTACTTGAGCTTTTTTAATAACTATTTTTATTTTTATTTTTATTTACATCTATTCAGTTCAAAATTTACTTGGTTTTTCAGTATGCATATTTTTTGCCTATTTTAAATCTATTCAAAATAAGTTAACGTTTAACGTTTAATATCATTCTTAAATTGAAATGCATTGATAAAATTCGCTCGAGTGGCTCTTGAAATCTAAAATATATCTTTATTCTGTAATTTTCTTTTTAACTCTGTTTAATTGCAGGCAATATTTTGCATTCATAAATTTCGATTTATTACCTTGTAAAACACGTAGCTACAAGATAAGGTATAAATAGCTTTCTGTATTTTATTGCAGTTGAGAGGCTTGTTTTTTCTCCCTTTTCCTTATACTTTTGTAATTTTATGCTAAAAATATTTATTTATTACCTGTATTAATTTACAATAAGCAAATATTGGTAGGCACGATGGTAAGTATAGAATAATACTTTAGTCTGCTGTTATCATTACATTATTTTGCGCTATTTTTCATTACTTTTTGAAATTCATTTAGATTCATAAAATATTTATACCTTGTGAGATATTGCAAAAAGAAAAATTGAATTGAATAGTTATCTACATATACATAAGTAAATAAATAAATAAATGAATAAATAATTCAAATAAATACAGCACTAAAGAGTATTGTCATGTGAAATGTTTGAGAATTAAAAACGATTGAGTTGAATTTTGAATGATTAAGCAAGGTTTTTTTTTTCAAATGTCAAAAGTTTTTAAATGTCAAAAATTCAAAACACAAATAAGTCAACAAAAAAAAAAGCACTAAAAAAAAGAGCAAAATTTTTTCATCCTTTTTTTCTACTTCTTTTGTTAATAAAAAGCAACCTAACTTTAGAAAATAATTTGTGAATTAAGGAGAATTTCATCAAGAATAAGCAATAGATAAAATGCTTGAATTTCGCATACTTTTTTTTTTCACGCCTTATTCTTATTTTAGCGTTATTTTTACTTTATTTTTTTATTTTTTGCCTGCTTGTTTATTCGTTTTTCACCTCATTTTATGTGCATTCTGAATATGGCAGAAACAAACGTTAGCAAATTTTTGACAACGATTGATTGCAAAGGACAGCTTCAAATTTGCGAAACTTTTTCAAACTTTACTTAAGCTAATAGTTAGTCTCCAAGGCCTAATGTATTGCTTATTGTCCCTTGCATCAACTATACACTTCCTCTTCCATCTCAATGCTACAATTATCGGCTTGCATTTCTCAACTTCATTTGCATGCTATTCAAAACAAATTTATTGTTTTCTTTTGCAAGCTTTTTTCCTACTGACATTGACTATCATTTTATATCTACTACATAAACTAACTGCTTTATGCCATCCATCAAAGCACAACAATACTACTAT